ATATAATAGCGAAGAAAGGTTTGTGAGACAGTCTCGTTTAGGCCAAGGGAAGGTGTACGTGTGAAGAAGTCCGGAAGAATGTTGACGTCTGAATAGCGTGATTTCCCAATGCCTACCTGGCATAAAATAGTGGCTGACGGAAACGTTTGCCAGCTGTGAATGACTGTCGTCTGGATGGAGGGAATTACTGTGTTTCGCTAAGTTGTGTGATGAATTCTACGATGTTACAAAGTTATGATTGATTGTTTAGAGCATTGAATAGGTAATCGATGAGTGATATTGTCGTGTATGAACATTTACTGACTGCAACATCAGCGAGTGAAAATAAACGGTACGTGTAATTTCTGAACGTCTGCCAGCGTCCATGTTTTCTCGTTTTTGTCAGTCGGTGAATGGAAGGATGCGGTGACTCATTCGAGCCAGCAATTAATAACAATGAAGATCACTGCAGCTACACTATACGCAATGTTGCCGGCCGTTCACAATAAGCAGTGCACGACGCGCAATATATAAAGCTTACAGCATCGAACACGACACAACGTCACACCCCTGTAACATAGAATAGTGCGTATGAAAGGTCACCAAGCATGAATGAACTGCCAACCACGGTTTGTTTGGGGCGAAAAAACGTTATAATGTTCCACCGAAAGATATTACGTGGGTAAATCAGACTGAACGGGGAAACCGCTAGGTATGAGTTTAGACTGCTCATGCCGTTTCAGTTTCACCCGTGACTTTGTTGTGTGACCGATCCCGGTCCTCTTGGCCAGACCAGTGCAGTAGAGCTACACTTTGATCTTAGCCAAAAGACAGAGAAGGACTGGGAGACAGTCCACAACTCACATTCTTATATAGTTACAAGATAGATGCATACTTTCAGTATTTAAACCTGCTGTACATGCTTCCCTGTGGAGTTTCTTCTTACTTATTGGCCGTCCTCGCTTCCCTAATACCTTTATTTCCCGTTTTAGTGCCTGTTTGGTGATGCTCTAATCGTTTCTTCTCAGGATGTGTCAAATATAACGCCATCTTCGCTGTCTCATAACTGTTAATACTGGTGTTTGCCAAGATAGTTATATCTTTACTATTTTGAATTCGTCCCATTTTATGTTCAACATTTTCCCCAGGCGTTTGTTTTCGAATGCATTGAAGTTTCGTTACATACCTTTAGTGGTTCTTCAACTTTCACAGGCATATATTAAAACTTAAATAACTTTACAATTGAAAATACTAAGGCTAACTTGGTTTGAAAACTATACAGTTTAGAGTTCCATATTTTGTTCAAGCTTTGCCGATGCCTTGTTAACGGGTGTCATAATTTCTTTCTCTGTATTCTCTTCAGTATCATAATTACTATTTAAATAATTAAATAATAATGTGGTTCTATCCCAATATCTCTACCCAAACAGACAGTCGAATATTTTAGGGGGTGGGAGCTCGTGGCAAGTTACATGCAGTCGTGGGACCTAGGCTGCACTCTCTTGTGGGACGTAGGTTGGTTGGGGCACGGCCTTCTCTATTTATATACGGCCGGACCTGGTTGGGGTTAGGCCCAGTTCTTGATGTTTTTGGGTAGTTGAAGAACGGCCATCTTTAGACTATAAATAGTCTGTACAACTAATCAGGTGACATTCTGGCAAGGAGCCCCTTGAAAAAATGTTAGATGAAACCGTTTCCATGTGTTGCATTGTGTGAAATTTTAACGTGCTTACAAAGTTCTGTGACCTGAATGTATTCGTATTACAAACCAACAAGCTCATATTGTGAAGTGCAAATACAAGATTTTCAAACTTTGCTGTTAGATTACAGCAATCTGAATTTAAATTCACGAGAGACAGTCGTGTTGTGATGTGTATGTCACTGTGTCTAGTCAGTAGTTTGGATTTTTTTGGATCTGGCTGTTTATTCTTTTTCAACTTTGAATGTGGAAATCTGACTTTTGATGAAAATACAAACAAGTAATTCAGAAGCCAGATATGGAGAATATCGACAGTTGTCACGTGCAAACTATTTTGTGTTAGAAGAGAACTATTGCTTTCATATTGACTGTGCATAAATGGTGCAACTACAATGTGGATGAATTTATAAATTGTGTCAAGACATTTTGGAGCTCTGGGTAAGTGGATAAGAACAATATTTACTAACTTACCTCTCACAGCAAGTCACTCTTTGCCTCTTTAGTAATTGTTGACTAACAGTGTCATTATATGTTGTAGAAGTACACTAATAATATTCCTCAACCATTTGTGCTCATTTCTATGCATGCACCTTCTTCTTCTTCGCGTTCACTGGCTGTAAACTTTGGCAGAAAGTTATGTTTGTTTATGTACATCTGCACATATGTTATTCAAACCTGACTTATTTGTATGCAGACCGCTGGTTCCTTGCCTCTCAGGCAGATGCATTCCGGCTTAGAAGGAAGCCACAATAAGTCGACTTTTACGACATGCACTAATATTAATCCTCAACCATTTGTGTTCATTTTTGTGAATCATCTTCTGCTTCGCGATCACTGGCTTTAAACTCTGGCAAGGAATATTTTTGTCTTTTTATAACTTATTTGTAGTTCATCTTTAATATACATATGTTAAATTTGTATGCCACAAACAGAGGCGATTACCGCTCCGATTGGCTTGCCAACTTTTCCATCGATGTGTCTATCAAAGATCCGAGGGAGGCACCTGGGTTCCCCAGGAAGCTCGGGAACGTTTGCTATCTGCATACAGGAGCTAGCGTGGCCACGAGTGGTATCAATGTGAACTGTGTAAACGCTACGCTGGGACGCTTTGTTCGGATTGTGAAGTTAGTAATACCAATATTTACCGTCTTGATAATCAAACTCTTCCTAATGATGTCGGTGATAAAGATGATGATGTCGATGACAATAATGATAATTATGATGATATCATCATCATAATTATCATCATTGTCATAGACATCATCATGACCATCACGATCAACATCGTCATCATCATCGTGATTATTATCCTAATTATCATCATCATCGTTATCTGCATTAATAACAACTTATATTTTTATTTCTATGCGGCCTCGTGGGGTAGGTAGACTGGCAGTTTCCGGTCCAGCGATCGAGAGGCCGAAGGAACACCTTGGTTTACGGCGGAGAGTAATTAGGAGAGTCCTACCATATGTTTTGACATGTCTGGGAATGAAATAGTTTAGTATGTAATAGAAAGGCGACCAATTAAGGGTTTGCTGCCATGAGATGTGTTGGTTCGAAAGGCGAATATCGTAGCCTAGATGTAAACATTAGCGAAGATGAATACTGAGGGGAACTGAACTGAGTTAAGATCTCTGTCCGCCTCTTTAGCAGAGTTTCAGAGTTCTCTCTAGCTAATGGGGCTAGTACCAGTCTGATTGTACGTCAAAAATAGGACATCTTTCTCTGTATCTTCCTCCTTCACTTCTTCTTTCACCGCGTCGAGTCTCGGGGGAGATATAAGGTTCGGCTTCTTGCTCTTCTGACCACCTCGACCATAGACACTCCACGCTGTTGTAGAGTTTCGTATCTTATTGCAATCTTTGTAAAGTACAGTACAGTAACGGACCATTTTACACGCATTCAGGCCCACTGGAAATATGGATCTAGACCTTTAATTTACAGACCAGTCAGCAATCAGTGGGTCATGTGGTCTGGACTGTACCTGGTAAACCTTTAAGGCTGAGTCGACCTAAGAGCAAAGGTCATTAAAAAAAAAGGCACCGTCAGGACCCGAACCCACGACCTTCCGATCCGCAGGCGAGTGTCTAGTCACTACACCATGGCGGCTACCTGTTACCTCATTAGTGATAATAAATCCACTGTCGGCTTGCTAGGCCTGTCGTAACTTCACCAGAGCCCCGTTGGCCAGGATGTTTCTAGATGACCCTGGATGGTCTCCATGTCTACCCAAACGGTCCCGTGACACAAGGCACGCCATTCTTCCTAACAATCCCCGGCTTTGTTCTTCTTCTTCTTCTTCTCTTTCTCCATGTACCTCATCGAAGTGTCGGGGGGAGATGCAGTGTTCGTTGATGAGCTCTGTCAAGAGCTCTATTAAGACTGATGTTCATTTCTGTAAGGCTGTTCTTAATGCCATCACTCCATATTTTCCGAGGTCTTCCACTCGCTCTATACCCGTTGTAACGTTTTAGTGTGGCTCGCTGTGGCGGATAGTACCAGGGCATTCTTGTTAGGTGTCTAAACCACTTCATTTGTTGTTCTTTGATGACCTGTAAGACTGATTTTATTCCTAGCATTCGTCTGATTTCATGATTTCGTATTCTGTCTTTCCTTGAAACTCCCTGCTTTGTTAAAGACCAAAAATGTTCAACGTTTACATTGTTTTTTTTTAAATGTTTATATATTTTTTGACAGGCACAACAACCAGGCTCTTGTCCTATGTGAAGTTATAGTATGGACAAAGACGTTACTAGAACAATATTCCTTCTACAAACAAATGTTGGACCCCGTGGCTAGACTTCAAGAACCGCTTAAGAGAGGCTCGACCCCCAGCAAGATAACCTGCGCAGCTTGGTGCACAAAACGACGGGAGAAGGACAACTGTCGGGGGTTCAGCTGGACCCCTTCAGAAAGGATGTGTTACCTGTTTGCCCCTGAACCTTTGAATAGTAGCATCCAAGGGTATCTACCAGGCCGAGGACTTTTGTATGTTGGAGACAGTCAAGGCAAGGAGGAAGAACTTAGCGATTGTTGACTGCTGCGGATACTGTGTCTGGCCACGACCGACTTCAGCTGTTGGGTGGTGCTGCGGACGTCACCGAATCAGGCTAGAGATGCGTTAAAAAATGAAATATGGCCTAAAGGCTAAAAGGGGTTTCCGGGATCTCTCCACGGTTGATTCTCATCTGCTAGGTGGCACTCCGTATCACCGGGTGTTTATCGCTTGTGTGATGTCCTGGTGGGGTACAACTTACATACCCTTATATATTTACATCCCTATTCTCCCAAAATCTTGTAGAAGCATATCGCATATTGACTAGTGGGTATTGTCGTGTAAAATTATATCAGCGGCCTTCTCCGCAATCATGATCGTCGGTGCATTTGTATTCGCTGAAATTAGTAACGGCATAATGGAAGCATCTACAACTCGGAGGCCGCTCAGTCCTTTAACTCTGGGGAGAAAAAAATAGATTATTCTTCTTAGGCAGTTGAAAACTAATTAAAAATAACAAACCACTCTTTGTCAAAATAGTAATTTTCTTATCCTCCCTGTGTGTGTTTGAGGGCAAATTTTTGGGGGGAGAAAAGTCTTGAACAAGCATGTTGTAATGTTGAATGTTGAATTAAGAATCGACATCACAGCACTCGTGACACCCTCAAAAGCGCTCCGCCCCCATCTTCAGCAGCAAGCAAAGAGTTGATTATGATGGTACCAGTAACTGTATGTATATTTGTCTTGCCTTTTCGAGAGTCGAGCGTCGGCCAGATCCCCTTGCAACTGCTCGCAGTGTCATTCTCCTCAGGCCGTAATGATCTATCTGTGACTCGGCACTGCTCACTCGCTCCCAAAAGGCCCTCACAACATCCAGCTTGTCATACATCAGTTCACCACCAAGTGGTGCAGAGCCAGCCAGTCTCTCTGCCTACTCATTTCCCAACACACCGGCATAACCTGGAGAAAATCTCCCAAAAATGCTAACTACCCGGGACCTATGAAGCGATGCTTGCCACTCTGCACGGAGCATGCCTGTCTCCACCCCTCTCAACATACTCTGTGAGTAAACATGTTGCAAAAGACATGTTGTGAAAGACGATTGATTAAGGGTTTGTAATAATCATATATGTTGGGCCAACAGTCGCAGATATCACAGCTAAGCCGTAAACCACAACTCAACCGTGCTAAATGTCCTTTCAATGGTGAATGCAGCTGAAAAAAGAAATATCGTTACTAGGACAGATCTGCAAGTATGCTTGATCAGTTATTAAGTTAAAGGTTTACATTAAAACCGTTGCAATTAAAGATTAAAGTTAAAGGGTTAAATTAGAGAGGGTCGACGCACTAGATTTGATCCCATATGTCTCGGTCTCTCTTCGCAGAGCGGCTAGCCGCCTACAGAGAGCGTCACACAAATCACGAACTCTGTAGTTACAGCAACGATCCCCAGGACCTCGGTAAAAATTGCCCCCGTGAACTGAATGCACATGTGAAACAAAACCACGACCTTCAGAGTGGGAGAGCAGTGGCTTGACATCGTCGCCACAGAAACCCCTTTAGGACCAGTACCTGGTGCTGCCCGTACCGGCGCCTCAATGATAACTTCCAAGTAGGTTAAACAGGGTATCTGGGCTCTCTCTCTCTCTCTCTCTCCCTCCCTCTCTCTCTCTCTCTCTCTCTCTCTCTCTCTCTCTCTAACAAGGTCAACTAAGAAAGCCTTGCAAAGTAACGCCACTGTGTCGAGCATGCGAATGTAGGTGGAGGCAGTAACGGCAGCTTCTTAATGACTGGAGAGTAGAACAATCCGTGATTTTTAACAGACATCGCAGAGCATGCGTTGCAACTCGTGTCTTGGGTTCACAGTGGCTTGAGTCGCTTCATAAGACCCAGATAAGAATCCTCTTCTTCATCTTCTTCCGCTTCTTCTTCGATCCTTCTGTCAGAAAAATTATATCAGGAGACCAGTAGCCTTCATGAAAGCTATCGTGCAGTCCATATCTCCCCCGTGTAGCATACAGCTTTGTCTTCATTTTGGTTGGAACAGGCCAGATTGCGTCTCTGTTGTCAGCACACAGTTGACAGTGTTGGAGCACATGCTCAGCATTTTCTGGCGCCACACTGCAGGGACACGTCTCCGTGTTTCCTACACCGAAAAATGTGAACTAATGTTTATGAAGTCTGTCGTGCCCAGTCCTCAGGCCGAATATAATACAGTCACTCTCTAGAGAGGCGATAAAGCGAGTCTTGGGGATAAGGATCATATCATGCATTTTCTGCCTAGAACTCTCAAGTGTACGTGATATTAAGCTAGCTGATAGATTAACTGCTGACGCTCCTCTGGGCATTTAGCTACTTTATGATAAACAAACGCGGCGAAGGCTCTCTGGGATTAAAGATATACAGGGTATCCATATCTGGAGAAATGAATTTGCCTAGGAGTAAGCAACTGATTTGTCGTGGATGCTGCTTCTAATTCTTCCGCAATTTCAAGCGACAGACTGTTGGTGCTGGCACTTCTGGCATCTGCCTTACACCTTTAATGCATGTGCTGGCTTTTAGAATAATATTTTGTCGAGACTGCTGTCTGCTTCACTTTTTTCACATGAGATAGGGATCTGCTTTTTGCCTGGTTCTCACTGGTAGGAGAAGAAAGCAGTTATAGAGTGACCCCTTTGCGGGAATTTTAACCCGCCAAAAGAAAAATTATTGGTCAAGTTGAGTTGATTCAAGAACCGACATCACAGCACTCGGGGCATTCCCATAAGCGCGCTGTCCCAGCAGCAGCCAGCGTAGAGGTCTAATACTAATGGTGCCAGTAGCATTCTGATTAAACGACCGTCTTGCCTTTCCTCTGAGCCTCGAGCATCTGCCAGAACTCCTCGTCACACCCCGCTGCATCTTCTCCTCCGAACTGTACACGCTTTTCCACAAGGCACTAACCACGTCTGCCTTATAATGTATAGGTATTCCACCTAGTTGTGCAGAGCCAGCCAATCTGTCCGGCTGTTCATTTCCCAACACCGGCGGTGTAATATATATTTATGGTTTTTTTTATTGAAGATTACAAATGTGTTACCTCCTGGTGTGCTTTGGTACATTTTTAAAAAGATTTAGTTCTTCCCCCCCCCCCTCCCAAATAAAAATTCGGCAACTTGCAAAAAAAAGGGGGGAGGGGAGGGGGGGGGGAGAGCTCCCAAAGATGCAATGGCATAAAGCTTTTGTAAACAAAGGGCCGTGTTAGCGCAGTCGATAGGAGACTCGCTTTCAAATCCAGCTTCGACTTGCTGCAGCACACGGCGGCTCTTTGAAACCAAACTGTTCCCGGGGTTCACACAGCCTCTAGGTAATGGGAACCAGAGTGAAAACTCTGGGATAAATGGAGGAACGCCGCTGTAGCTACGGAGCTGTGTGCGGACGGCGACACAGGCGGACAGTTTCTTATCAGCTGTCCGTACTGATGGCAGAGCACTTATGGTTAATAACCGTGTGCAATGACGCTGGTTCACATCTCCCGACTTTACCTTTACTTATTTTCGTATTCAAAGGAGAAAGTAAAAGATTGTTTACCGTAGCCTGGAATCTACAACAGCGGTAACATCATCATCCGCTCCCATCTTGCATGTCCCAGCTGCGTGATGAGCTGTAACCAGGGAAATAACATTTACTAATCAACATCATTATCAATGTGAATATCACTATCATCATCATCAACAACAACAACAACAACAACAACATCATGGCCCTAATCGTCATCAACATCCTCATCATCATCAGTATAATCATCAACGTCATCGTAATCATAATCACTATCATAATCACCGTTGTTATTATTTTTATCAGTGGTGGGTTATATATTATAGGGAAAACAAGAATAGACCCACTGCCTACACAAAAGCATGTCGTAAGAGTCGACTAATTAAGAGTTTCCTTCAAAGGCGGAGTGCATCTGCCTGAGAGGCAGGGAACCAGCAGTCTGCTAACAAATGAGTCAGATCTGTAAAGCGGATGCACATGCAACACTCAGGTTCTGGAACAAAGCTAAAGTCCAGAAGTGGATGAACAACCAGAACTTTCCACCAGAGTTTGTTACCAGAAGAAGACTTCCTTAAAAAATTCGCGTATTTCGTTTTTTCACAAGATCAAACTGGAAGCCACGGTCATAAAAAAAAAGTATCACCAGGGATTTGAACTAAACACTCGCCACCACTACTTCCGCAGATCGGAAGTCGCAGTTAACCTCCACCATCTGGATTTATACAGTAAATGGGAATAAAAGAGCTGACCTGCTGGCAAGTAATGCAGCAATGCAAACCGGAAGAAGCATGGACAGAGCTGATACCATCAACGCTGTACGGACTATGTTGGGGGATAATGGCGAACCTCTGACGCAAACACGACTGCGTGACCGGGGAGTTTGAGGTTTGGAACAAAGGATCAATATCAAGGTACACGGGTAGTAACCCATAAGTGCTCCGTTCTTTCTTCTAACTCAAGTCTGAGTCCGAAAAAGCTCAGCACAGTGCACAGGCTCTGTAGCACCGGTGAGGTTCTTGAAATACTTTCGGTAGTTAGTTAACTCCAAATGTTGCCCATGCAGCGCCGTTAGACTACTCTTTTCGATTTTTTTACTTGCACGGCAATGCACACGGGCGCCCGATCTGACTACCCAAAGACCAGGAGAATTACTAGAAGTCCAAGTCCACCAGGAAAAATACCAGACCTTACCGGGATTGAACCCAGAGCCTCTAGCACTCGAGGTGGACACCATGCCTCGAGACCATGCAGCCCCCACCGAGGATTTCATCTTGGTGAGGCACGACTATGCCGTCTTTGAGGTAAAGACAGGAGATATTATAACCAACTCCTCATGGGAACAATCAGTAGAGATACCTTGGAATGGCTGCTGCATCGGAGGACTGCGCACACATAGGCCAAAGTGCAAAAGATGTCTATTGTGGTAACACAACATAACTCTCGTTGATACTCACATGTGACTCCAAGATGGCGTACATAACAACGCCAGTAGCTGTCAGTATCAAACTGGATCGTCTCACAGCCTGGGAGCGGGGTCTTGTCAACGTGGGATCCATGCCGTTTAAGCGCGTCTGTGTTTATCAACTGCTCGGCCAGGCGGATACCTGTTGACATTAAGATAAATGGGTTAGTTCGATGATAGTCTCCACACAGCCCGCCCATATACACACTAGCTCACTTCTGATTGGTAGTTACCTGAGCCGCGCGCCCCTTCACACACTGCTACGGGTGGTGTTCCGCAATGCCGTTGATATCGCATTTGTATATTTCAGGACGCCAGCGATTTTAACACTACAAAAAGATTGACAAACTCGGTTTAACACAAACTCCCTAGAGAGTACTGCAACCTGTGTCACAGACATTTTCTTTCTAGTAATTAAAACGCTAATGCAAGACATCGCGGAAACCAAACAAGAGAACGGGACACACCCGGGACCTCAAGAAATGTCGACCAGCCCAACAAAGTTGTCAATGAAAACTGACCTACTTTGTTTGGGGAGACTAACGTCGAACTAAATGATAAATGCTGATGATAGATATCAGAAACATGTTTAACATGTACAGATTATCAAAGGAAGGTCAGAGCGTGTGATGTTAGGTATGTACACATTCTGGACTGCGACATATGATTGAGGTGATCAGTTCTTTTCCTTACATCAGAATAATGGGACCCCGTGTGGGTTCCGGTTCCCCATTGTGGGGAAAAACAAGAATAGACCCACTGCCCACACAGCAAGCATGCCGTAAGAGTCGACTAGTTGGAGGACATCTGCCTGAGAGGCAGGGAACCAACAGTCTGCATATTTAAAAAGTTAAATATGTAAAATGGATGCGCACGCACCACCCAGGCTCTGGGACAAGTCTAAAGTCCAGAGGTGGACGAAAAATTTGAACTTTCCGCCCGGGTTTACAGCCGACAAACGGGAAGAAGGGAAAAAGAATTTATGAAGAAAAGTAGTTGTGATAGTAGTTATAGTAACAGTAGTGTTTGTAGTAGTAGCAGCAGCAGCAGCAGCAGCAGTAAAAACAGTATCAGTGTTTGCAGAAGAAAGATAGTAGTGGTGGTGGTGGTAGTTGTAGTTATAGCAGTAGTAGAGGAAGAAAATAGAAACAGGAGAATTCCTTTATTAACAAACCTCGTACAAGCCCTTCGACGTCCTGTTCATCTTCTAAGAAAGCTGGATCAATGGCTGGGTGATCCAACGGGTTGCTGCTTCGTAAACGAACAGTCCCGCGGCTCCGGCATGGTAGAAAAGTAGGAAGAAGCATAAATCCTGGCTCATCTAAATCAATATTCCACCGCTGAATCATCTGTACAAACATAAGTTAAATTTGCACAGGAGGGCTTGAATAATTAAGAAACGAAAATTAGCAGCCACGAAAATGTTTACGTACTATGCTAAGTGTAACAAGGGAAGATCGACTTACGAACGATGATATCAGGAGTAGAGTCGGCATCAAACAGGATATCACAGAGAACAATGTTGTAAAGATACAACAGTAACAGAAGCAGAAGTCGACCACGCAGAGACACTGAAAAGTATGTTATGCGAAGCTCTAGGGTCTTCACTATGTTATACAAAGCGAGCAGAAGGGTCAGTTCCAAAGATCTCCTCCTGATCTGACGCGGCGAGGCATTCCAGGAGAAGAGAAGAAGAAGAAAATAAACGTTTTAAAAAAATTTGACATTATTCCAGGTGTGTTCATCGGAAAGTCTAGAACTGTTCTGAGGGAAAACTGTTGGTGTAGCATTTTACCAGGGATGTAGGGATTCTGAACTAAACGAAGCGGTGTATTAAGACCAGAGACTATGCTGATCAAGATTTATCTAATCTTTCCATGATCATCTTAAAAACTTTCCTTGTGGATCTTTCCATGGTCATCTTAAAAACTTTCCTTGTGGATCTTTCCATGGTCATCTTAAAAACTTTCCGTGTGGGTTCCAGAACTCTATTGTGGATGCAAAAATAATAGATACTTTGCCTCCTAAGACGTGTCGTAAGCATGTCGGATTAGTCGACTAATAAGAGATGTTTCTCTCGAAGTCAGAGTGCATCTGCTTGAGAGGCTAGGACACAGCAGTCTGCATACAAATAAGCCAGATGTGTAAACCGGATGTGCACGCAAAACTAAGGTTCTGTAACAAGACTAAAGTCAACAAGTGGAGCAACAACCAGAACTTTCCCCAAGAGTTTAGAACCGGTGAACTCAAAGAGAAAGATCTGAACAATTTGAAACGAAATTTGCTCCAAAGTCAATTTAAATGTGATATGCAACATGTAGCGCCTATACTCGGCAAGTGTGTGCTCAGAATGGAAAATAATGACAATCATGAAAAAAAAAAAAAAAAACCTAATCTTTATTCACCTTCGCACAACTGTGAAGATTTTAGGAATTTGTAGAATGTTTTAAATTCAATCACACTGAATGACAGAACATTTTTCTAAAAAAAAAAAAAAAACAAGAACACACACACACACACACACACACACACACACACACGCACACACGCACGAAAGCACGCACGCACGCACACACACACACACACACAATATTGGAGTTTCCTGTGTGGGTTCTGGAGCCTTATTGTGAAAAAACAAGAACAGACCCACTACCTTCCCAACAAGCATGTCATAAGAGTCTACTAACTGGGAGTTTTCCTTCGAAGTGGGAGTGCGTCTGCCTGAGAGGCAAGAAACCAACAATGTACGTACAGTTAAGTAAGATCTATTAAACGGGTGTGCACGCAACACTCAGGTTCTGGAGCAAGACTTAAGTCACGAGTGGACAAACAACCAGAACTTTCCACCGGAGTTTACAGCTGGTGAACGCGACGAAGAAGAAGAAGAATGTTAGAGGAAACTGCTGCCGACAAGCGAGCAAGAGGTAGACAGCGATACGAGTGAGAGGATAATATAAAAAAAAAATAGATGGAAAGCAGCATTAAAGAGTTCAGAACCAGGACGCGATACACAGTGTTGGGATGCACTGCAGTAAACCTATATTATTGTGAAGACGACAACTGCTTGATTGATTGCTGTAGTTGGTTAAACCTGACTTCGCGGCGACCAGGTGACGAACTCCTTGTGGTCTGGGTTCACGCCTGGGGGTTTGCAGAAAAGCTACATTTCTCCCAGATTTAAGGTACCTATCTTGGAATCATGGCCCGCAGGGTTGCGATATCCATAGTACTGAGCCGAAGGGTTAACAACTCATAGTTTCTGGAAAAAAATGACAGTTACCTCTGTACTAAGCCCAGGCATCAGTTTCATAAACCGCTTCCCAATGAGTGTATCACCAAGAATCATTTGGATATCTGGCTGAGGTAAGGCAGGTCGTGATTTCATGTACGCAAGTCCAACGTTCCCGCCAGGTGAACTCAGTAAACCTGAAACAACACAAACAACTCTTAATCCTTGATAAATCTATAAGTATTGATCGGCACTCATAGAAATAGAGGAATGATTGAGACAAGAAGACAGTGAAAAAATAAACGACCCTCTAAAAGGCAAGTGGGTCTTAAGTTTAAGGATTAAGGGCTTCATGGGCAGTGTAGTCACCATCAATTCTACAGGTTACGATTTTACTTATACTCCTGGACCGACAGAAAAATCATCACCGATCCTACTATTCAAAAACAGGGCACCTTATATATGGAATCCTGTATTCCTAATGAAAACACGGCGTTATAACTACTCGACCAGACTAGTAGACACATCTAAAACAGTACACATAATAAATATCCACGATTATTGTTTAAACTATCGGGATTCCTACCTTTCGCCCCGATTGACGAAAGCGCCTCACTGCAAGATTGATTGAAAGGCGTTAAAGACATTGGCACTATGGAAGAGCCTGGGTCATAACCAGGTAATGATTGATTGGCACCTTTCCAGACTATAGTGTTAAATTACGCTATGAGGAGGCATGGGACTCACAGTCCATGGCGATGGCGAGTGGGACTAGCCAGACCCACCCGCGTTAAGACAAGTCTTCTATATTTATAACATGGATGTACAAAACCGTTGTTGTCCACATTTGTATCTAATTTGTTCCTTCTCAGTCGCAATAATTGCTTTTGCAATCAATTCTTCCTTAATTCTCATTAACTTCCTGATGTACCCCCTCCACACAACACGAGTCCACCTCACTACCTATAATATAGGTCATCAGGTGATATTTCCAAGAAAAAACGGCGGATGAATATATATTTCCTCTGCAGCAAATTTCTATTTTTGAGATGTCTTACCAGTTCTTTTCGAATACAACGTCGTTGTCGTTGTCATCATCAACAACATTGTCTTCACTATCATCGTCATAAAGACGTTGTCAATCACACCTCTCCATAATCTGTGATCTCCAAAAGCATGCATCAGTATATGAGCTAGCAACGCTTCATGCCGTGATAAAAAGTCTGCCAAGAATCTCTTCGTAATTTACTCTTTCTTTCTTTCAATAAATCTGTCCAGTGGTCACAACATCTCCAGTTTTCTTCTGTTCATAACATGGTTACATAAAGGACTGCATAATCTGCCAACTGCCATTAACTGTTTGTATTTAACACCTTGGCAAAGGGGTTGGGGGTGTTCGAGCATGAGTGCTTAGTGCCACATGACTAATGTAGATGCCACGGAGTGTGCAACGTCGGATTTTACTCCCCACCCCCCCCCCCCCCCCCCAAAAAAAAAAAAAAAACATGCAAATCCATGACCGTACAGAGGATTCGAAGTAGGCCTTCCATGTGGTAGCCCAGCATTCCTAACCTTTCGGCCAACAAAAACAGATCGCTGGCACTTAACACGGACAGTGCGCACCTGTTCCAAAGACCTGATACTCCAGCTGATGATACGATGACGGGCTTGGAGCTCCCCTGCTGCTGTTGGTTTTCACAAAGACCACGGTGAGAATATGGTCCTGGAGGTTGTTGCCCACCGGAAGGTCTGCTACTGTAGGAATCTGGGAACACCATTACAGAATGTCCAAAATATGTACACAGATCTTGATAACGTTTACAATACAATACTTAAAACAACTGAAAAAATAAGTTTAGATGCTTCCCGAAAACTAAGACTAGAAGTAATGGTGGTGGTAGTGGTGGTAGTGGTGTTAATGGTGGTAATGGGGATGGTAGTTGTGGTAGTGGGGGTAATGGTGGTAATGGTGGTAACGGTGGTAATGGTGGTGTTTATGGTAGTAATGGTGGTGGTAGTTGTGGGAATGGTGGTGGTAGTGGTTATATTGAAGGTAATGGTGGTGGTAGTGGTGGCAATAGTTGTGGCAGTCGTGCTTATTATGGTAATGGTGGTGGTAGTGGTGGTAATGGAGGTTATGGTGGTGGCAGTGGTGGTAATGGTGGTGATAGTGGTGGTAATGGTGGTGATAATGGTGGTGATAGTGGTGGTAATGGTGATGGTAGTTGTGGTAGTGGTGGTAATGGTGGAGGTAGTTGTGGTAGTGGTGGTAATGTTGCTAATGGTGGTGGTAGTTGTAGTGGTGATAATGGTGGTGGTAGTTGTGGTGGTGGTGGTGGTGGTAGTTGTGGTGGTGGTGGTAGTTGTAATGGTGGTGGTATTTGTGGTAATGATGGTGGTAGTTGTGGTGGTGGTAGTTGTAATGGTGGTGGTAGTTGTAATGGTGGTGGTAGTTGTGGTGGTGGTGGTAATGGTGGTAATGGTGGTGGAATGGTAATGGAAAAATAACGAAGATAAAATAGAGGGAATTCAAGAATGGAGAAGAAATAAGAAACATATCTAGATAACCACTGCTATCATCAATTATCAGACAGATAAGATGGCGTCATATTGGTCACATTCTGAGTTGAAGGGAAGAGCAAATCACCAAGCAGGCACTAGTAGGTAGGTAGGTAGGTAAGTTGTACCCCATCAGGACATTACACAAGCAACAAACACCCGGTGACACAAAGTGCCAAAATGCAGATAAGGATCTCCCGTGGGGAGGTCCCAGAAACCCCGTTCAGCCGTCAGGCCATATTTAAGGCCCGACCATGAATCTAGAGTGGGGTTTTAAATAACTGACTGACTTTCTACCCCACCAGGACATCACACAAGCGATAAACACCCGATGACACAATGGGCCACCATGTGGGTGAGGATCACCGTGGAGAGGTCCCAGAAACCGCGTTCAGCCAATTGGCCATATTTATGGCTTGCCTATATTGTGGCCCCTGGCAAGATCCAGGGTGGGGCTTCAAATAACGAAGAATTTCATCCTAAAAAGGACGGTAAATGCTATTTAAATAATGAATTGCATCTCACATGGGGACGACATGTTAATGAATATGTGTAACAGCAAGCACTGAAGTGGGAAACACGCAAATGGCAAAGAGGATTGAGGAAACGATGATGTCCAAGAGAAACATTAGGGCAAACGTTGATGAAACTCATGGCGTTTGGATACTAAAACAAACAAACAAACAAACAAACAAACAAACAAAGTTGATGAGGGAGGTGAAAATGCTTGACTGGGTTTCATCCATGACATTGCATTGACTGCACAGCCTTGAAGGGAATGGATGACTGAGCCCTGTGTGGCATACAACTGCACAACAGGAGAATAAATTATACACGAATAAACACATACTGGTGAACATATTGCCTCATGATTGGGACTAAGACACCTTACGGGTGCCTTTCGCTAACATACTTTAAGTGCCTCCAAATGCTGACGAGGCCCAATACCAGAAAGCATCAGTAGCTGAGGCGACCCAAATGCTCCAGCTGATACGACAACTTCCCGTATAGATTTTGCCTGGTGTAGCTTCGTTGATCGCTGTCCTCTTTGACTGTAAGCCACACCGACAGCACGACCATTCTCAATCAAGACCTTCAGACGAGAAGAGGCAATTACAATTAGAAGGGCAGACATATATGGATGATGCTTCTCTTAGTGATGAATGTGTTTGTGTGCAAAAAAAGTGGTTCCTGTTCAATCACAGACATATATGTGGTACTTTCATTGATCCAAGATAATAAAATCAGGTCTCTCACAACTACACCTCTCTCCCCCCGCAGCTTACAATATTCATAGACCGAGTATTGTCTCAGTCAATATAATATGTGACACTGGACTACATCGATCTTTTTTGACTGATGAAGGACGTGATATGTATATTTAGGATGTGGACAGAAATTTTGATTAGCAACGTCAAACAGCGTGAACTAGAAGAAGAAGAAGAAGAAGAAGAAGAAGAAGAAGAAGAAGAAGAAGAAGAAGAAGAAGAAGAAGAAGAAGAAGAAGAAGAAGAAGAAGAAGAAGAAGAAGAAGAAGAGAGGAGGAGGAGGAAGGGCAAGAAGAAGCAGCAGAAGAAGAAGAGGAAGAAGAAGGAAGAGGAGGAGAAGCTGAACGAGCAGAAGAAAGAAAAATAAATGAAGGGGAATTGAAGGAGGAATATGCAAAATGACAATATTTTTCTCAGAATAACTGTCATTAATTTAGCTGTTAATAACCCGGATGCATATGTATATATTTGCGATGAAAATCCAGCTACGTATGTATATGTTAACGTTACAGATTAGTATTCATGTGTGTACATTTATCCTGAAGATATAGTTTTGCGTGTTAATATGTGATCTGTAGATCAAGATACATGTTCGTATATTTACTTTTAAGATTCCCATTACTGTATGTGTGTATTTACTACAAAGATTTGAAAAGACATTGTATATTTACGTTGAATTCTCAGACAAATATGTGAAAATATACTGTTAAAAAAATCCGTTTTAAATATCTGGCTTATTTGCACAACAGACTGTTGGTTCCTTGCATCTCAGGCAGATGTACCCGGACTTTAAAGGAAACACCCCTAACTAGCCGCTTCCTAGGACATGCTTGCTAGGAAGTAGTGGGTCTTTTCTTTATTTTCCTAAATGGACCTCGGAACCCGCACAGGAATAAAGTGAGTTAAAGAAAGCACCTACTTTGTGAACTGTTGCTCCTGTGACAATATCGAGATTATCCCGTTGAGCTGCCGGCCACAAGTAGGCACGAGAAGCACTCCACCGCTCACCTCGGAAGATGTTAACTTGTGTTCTGGCCACACCTGGAAATAGACCAAACAGAAATTAACATATTATTTGGTTGGTAAAGCTGCAAATTACAAAATGAAGAATTTTTTATGCACGCTTTCTTTGTCAATTGAGACGAGAAAGAGCATTCTCAAAAGCTGTATAAATCTTATCTTGATATATGGAAGTGAATCATGAACAGTTGGTAAATTAGTGAAAACTTTTTTGGAATCTGTGAAGATGTGGTTTTGCAGACGAATGATGATAATACCCTGGACAGATAAAAAAGGGTAATGAAGATGTTATAAAAGAAACTGACTCATCTATATTCTTTGGTCATGTGATGAGAAGGAGAAAACTGGAGTGCATCGTGACAGTAGGAAAAATGAAGGGGAGAAGAGGCAGGGGAAGCCCGCTGGAAAAGATGCTAGACAGTTTGACATCATGGTATGGAGGATCATCTGTATCAGAATCAACTGAAAGTACACGAAACAGAAGGTTGTGAATAGACATGACTGCCAACGCCACACGACATCCACTTTAAGAAGAGAAGAAAGCTAGTATTCATTGCCAGTAATAATAGCTAGATTGTCTTTGTGCTAGAACCCACTGGCTCTACTATAATTTCCTGGTATTCCCCCCTCCCCTCCCCCACATGGATGTAGTATATCTATGTGGTTGTTGTAATAATGATTGTCTCACTTCGAGGACTTAAAAAAAAAACAAAAAATCAACAACAACCCCGGTCTCAATGGAGATGCGAACACATACCCATCGGTTTGATTGATAAGCGTGCTTGACAATCTTACTTCTGCGAAAGTTATGTCTTGCAGAAAGTGTGGACATCCCATTTAATGAACACGTTGTTCCCACTCTTACACCCGTCTATTAGAAGGCTGTCCGCTAGCAGTTGGATACACTGTGGCATATTGATTTGTTTAGACTTTTGTTCATCGGAAACTGAGCACAATAGAAGGAAAAAATTATAATAATATCAATAAAAAGAAGAAGAGAGAATAAGTGAGAAGAGGAAGACAGGATAACAAGGAAGAGGACACAGATAAGTAGGAGAGGCGGATACAAGAGGTATGCAGCGGAGGGGGAGAAGAAGACGATGGAAAAGAAACAAAAAGGAAAATAAAGAAGAAGACATGGAAAAAAGGGAGACGGAAGAAGAAGAAGTAAATCAGGAAGAGAATGATAAAATAAAATGTGCATTAATGATTATCTATGAAAGAGCAAGGCTAGAAAAACAAAGATATCTACCTTCCTGTTCGCCATCGTTGTAATCTCGTTCCGGGTAACCAAGAATGGTAGCTGCGTCTATGAAATCTTGGGACAGTTCAAATCCCTTTATTTCTGTAACTTTGATTGGTCCAGTCGTGCCTCGCTGTTCTGTGAAGAAAAAAAAAAAAAGACATTATTAGTTAAAGCTGCCTCGTCCGATATTTCTAAAAAGCCCAAATGCTAATGTTTCAATGACGATGGAACGACACAATCAGTAAAATGAACCCACGACCTCCGGAGCGAAAGCAAAATTATGAGTTAAGCTATGTCGTCCCCATGAGGTATGCATTTTTTCGTTATTTGAAGCCCAACCCTGGCTTTTGCCGGGGGTCCTGAATATAGCTGGGACATGAATGTGGCCATAAAGGCTGAAAGGGGTTTGTGGGACCTCTCCACGGGTGATCCTCATTCGCATGGTGGCGCTTTGTGTCATCGGGTGTTTATCGCTTGTGTGATGTCCTGGTGGGGTACAACAAGTAAGCAGCAGGCAAGCAAGCCAAAGCAAACGGTGTAATAACAACTCATAGATGCCAAGACCTGAGGGGGGGGGGGGGGGGGGGGGGGGGGGGAAGGGTGCTCAAGCACCCGAGGTTCCTGCTCTTTCAGTCTTTAAGCGGAGTGAGAAATACTTATCAAAGGGCTAGGCAACCACCCTCCTCCCTACCCTCCAGAACCATCTGTAGGCGTTATCTCTTCAAGATTTGTTTATGCTGTACATTTCATATTATTTCAAATATATTAGTTTTATTCAATTGCTACTGAGAACACATAAGTACTGCGACTATTATTGCTCCTTCAAACAAGACCCTCTGAAGTATAAGAATAATATAAGGGAGCTGACCTTCCTCGTGCAACCTCCCCCAGTGATTTCTTTGGAGCGATCCCCTTTAACCTCTAACCTTCTCTCGTTATCTTCCTATGTTTTTCTTTCCATAAATCATTCCAGTTGTCACAAGTTCTTATGCATTCTTCTTCTTCTTAAAGTCCATGCTGTGTGGCGTTGGTAGTCATGTCTGTCCACAATCTTCTGTCTCGTGTAATTTACATAAACTCCTCTAAGCTATGATGTCAAACTGTCCAGTGGGGGCGGTAACTACAGCTCTCTGGTGGCTAGAGAACAATGTGCATACACGTGTCGTAATTGTAACAGACTCTGAGAAAGGTGAAGACAGGGATGCTTCGAGCAGAGTGGCAAGCTTCACTGGAAAGGTCACGGGTAGTGAACATACTTTGGATCTTTTCTCCAGGCAATGCCAGTATGATAGGTTTTGAACAAGCAGATCTGCACCATTGGGTGGTAAGTTGATACATAACAAGGCAGATGTGGCCAAGGCCCTTTGGGAACAAGCAATGGAATCAGTAGAGAAAGAAGTTTATTATGGCCTCAAGAGAACGAGGCACATGGTTGTAACCAGAGGGTCTGGCCGGCTCACTACACTCAGAGGAAAGGGAAGAGGGACATATAACTAGATTGTGACCGGTACCATCAATATTGGAACTCTGGGCTGGCTGCTGAAGATGAGGATGGAGCATGTACAGGAATGCCCTGAGTGTTGTGATGTCAATTCTTGACTCAGCTCAACTCAACTGTCCAGCATCTTTTCTCTCGGTCTCCCTCTGCCTCCCTTCCCCTCCATCTTTCCTACTGTCACGATGTACTCAAAATTTATCCTTCTCATCACATGACTGTCGAATGTAGACTGCCTGCTTCTGATGTGGGTAACCAATTCTCTTCGTGAGTCAGTTTCTTTCATGAAATCTTCACTCTCCATTTTATCTGTCCAAGGTATTCTCATCGTCTATGTATATAAAAATCAATGTTTGTGTGTTTGTTTGTCCCCCATAGACTGGGAAACTACTGAACCGATGTAGCTGAAATTTTCAGGATATGTTTGTTTTGATACTGGATGTTGAAACATCATGGTTTGAAATTCAACCTGTCAGTGTTAGAGATAGTTTACGACAATTTATGCAATAATATTCGAAACTAATATTTATAATTTTAGTGATTTCTAATTATAGCCACGTTAGTAATTGCGCATGCGCCGTAGTCAGAACGCAAGGCTTCCACCATTCGCTGGCGAGTTACCTGCAGCCAAAGCCTTCTCTAGTACATACAGTAGGTCGTGGTACAGCAAACAAGACTATCTCTATATTTGCCACAATAACCATATTGAACACGATTTCTATTTTCTGATTTTTTTTTCAAACAACCTTAGATGGGGGGGGGGGGGGGGGGGAGTGGGGGCATCAAGGACTATCTCGACGTCGGCGCAGACATTGACTGCGACATTAACTTCATTAACCATGTTAGACACGTGCGATTTCTATTGTTGTGCCGTTTTATTAATATATCTGGAGTATCTGTCTACGAGAAAACAATTGCCTGCGGTTTTGAGTTGTGTTATAATCGGGACACAGTAGTAGGGACACACATCTCTAATAGTTTAGTTCTTTTTTCGGTGCTCCGATTAAGTGGCTGCTTGGTCGAATGGTTAGAACACTGGGTTCCCGTGCGGGAGACCAGGGTTCAAATCCGCAGTAATTAATTTTTTTTACCCAGGACTAAAATAATATCCTCATCTGTTCTGTCGTGGTGACAGCACTAGCAATGTTGCCGTTAATACTGAAAAAAAAAAAAAAAAAGAGTAAATAGGTAAACCATTTGATAATTAAATTTGACCATTTCGCATACTTATGATTGCATTTTTTAACTTTCCGATTGCATGGTTACGCTGAAATTTCATAGCTTTCCATTTATTTTCATTTAGATTTAGTTATTTCATCTGCGTTGGAATTTTAAGCTGTGCTGTTTACCATAGCGTTCATTTCCTAATTGTGGTGTTTTTTTTCTTTGTTCATTTGCTTTTCAAGTGTTTTGTTTTCTCCCAACTACTTTAATGAGGGAAAGAGTTGTCAGTGAATTTAGGGGGGTGGGGGGGGGGGGGGTAAACTATTAACTGAGAGAGCTTTAAGTCACAGTAACTGCTTTACCCACTTAAAGTAGCAGCAGCAGCAGTAATAGTTGTGGTTGGGCTGTTACACCATAGTGCTCTCATGTGAAGACCGCCGGTAAGGTTATGGCGTTTTTCTGTAGGCAAGTGAAATTATACATCCTAACTTGACCAGTCTGTGGCGACAGCACTAGCCATGCGGTACCAAATCTTCTGGCTCACGACTCTCTGTCTACTCCGATGGTAACACAGATAGCAGTGACATTATTTTAGCTACTGTACTGGTGGTCGTGGTAGTAGTTGTACTGGTACTTGAATGATGATGTGGTAAATATTACACTTTCCTTATTCACTACCTATTACAATTCCTGCTCCCCAATTTAGTCCGGATGGACAGGGATGTCAATGTCAGTTACAGCAACAAAAAATATCGCCAGGTAATGATTTTCAAATCCTTCGGAGAGGGAGAGAGCAGTAGTCGGTGGAAGAGGGGAGGGGAGGGGGTAATGACTTAAATTTAAGAGAACTTAAAGAGCTTTACACGTGATTTTCAAGTTCTCATTACCTAATTTGTTTATATTTTACTAACGCTACCTCCGCTTTTCTATTTTTAACGACTTACTTTGTTATTCAAAAGTACAGTTGTAGCTTTACTTCCGTCTCCTATAAAAAATACAAACAGCTTTAGCATGTGATAACCAAATAACCATTTTTTTTAACTGTGCTAATAACACCATTTAAACGACCAATAATATAAAGACAGAGTTATAAGGTGCGTGTTCTAAAGTTGGAAAGCCAGACTATCTCTATATCTGTGCAGAGAATGATTGCGACATTAACTATATTAGACACGTGCGATTTCCATTGTCTTTCTTTTCCAGAAACCTTTGATGAGGGAGAGAGTAGTAGGTGGATTTAGTTGTGGTGGTGGTGGTGGGGGGGGGGGGGGATCAAAGACTATCTCTATATCTGAGCAGACAATGATTGTATTAGACACGTGCGATTTCTTTTTTCTTTCATTTTCATTTAGCCAAACTATGCCACAGCAACGCGTGGCCGGGTACAGCTAGTTTATCTATAAACTACATCTCCGCAGCTTCAGTTTTTGTTCACTAATCGACGAAGTGTCCGTGATTCATATTCATGGAAGTCTCTTAGGGTGTTGAAAGTCCATCTCTGGGCCAAATTCATATCGGCACATATTCGGCACCTATTGCTTAGGCGTTGTGAACGCGCTTTGTAATGCCGGGGTACCGGGTTTGATCCAAGCTGCGGTCTTTGCGCCTTGCGTTGGTTTCGACAGTGGTTTCGAGAAGCCGACTGCCCAAAAATCAATGGCAAACTACTAGACGTAAATTGGCCTAGAAAAACCACAACAGTTTAAAAAAAAAAAAAAAAAAATGCTGGGGTTGGTTGTGCAAAATCCTGTAAAGGATCCGCAACTAACCAAATTCATATACATTACCTGCATTTATTTTGCCTTTGGTTATGAAGTCCTCCGATTTGATAAAATAAGGCAGCACGTCCGTGTAGCTCCAACCTTTGGAGCCGTGCTGGGCCCACATGTCGTAGTCCTTTCTGTTGCCTCTGCTCCACTGCATGTAGTTGATGAAACGCTTGAGCCACCCAGTGCTTTTCCTCTTGGGAGATAGCCTTTCTGGGGTAGATAATAATACTAATTCAAGTGTGGTAATGACCTGGGAAATATCTTTGTTTCTGTCTTTGGTGGGTGATTGTTTGTTTGTTTCTTGTGATTGTTTGTTTGTTTGTTTCTTTCTCTCTTTGATTTTTGTTGCTTGTCTGCATGTTTGTTTGTTTGAATGTTTATTTGATTGTCTGTTTCTTTTTATTGTTTCTCTTTACTTTATTTGTTTCTTCTTTTCTTTTTGTTTTCTTTCTTTCGTTTGTTTGTTTGAGTGTATTTTTTTCCCCCATTGTTTGTTTCTTTCTTGTGTACTTTATTACTTCCTTCTTTTGTCATTTCTTGTATTCTTTTCTCTGTGTCTGTTTATTGGTCTGTCTATTCTTGGATCTGTGGTCTGTTTTTGTCTCTATCCATCTGCCCCTAATCACAGACTATGTTAAAACACACAGTTTTATATTCTTCTTCTTCTTTTTTCAAAATCTGCTTGTGCCGCTAGGCGTCGCAGTCTATCAGATGATCGGCAACCGAGCCAGGGCGCGCTCAGTCGCTTCATATGCCGTGATGTTATGAAGTCTCAAGTTGTCCGTGACTCCTTCAATCCATATTCTTCTTGGTCTTCCCCTGCCTCTTGGTGTTTCGATTTTCATGTTGTATGCTCTTGATGCTGGCATCGTTGGTTCCATTCTCATTAGGTGACCAAACCATTTCATTCTTTGCTTCTCAATAAATTTAACGATGGGTATGGTTCCAATAGTTCTTGTAATCACTTAGTTTCTCACTCGATCTCTTCTGGTTTTATTCGCAGCCATTCTCAAACATCTCATTTCACAGGTGGTTAGTCTTCTCTCGTGTTCTTTTGTTAATGTCCAAGTCTGACATTGATAACCTAATGTCGGTATAAAGATTGTATTTATAATTTGTCTTTTTATCTCAGCTGGGACAGCAGGGTGTTTTTAAATTGGGGCAAGCTGGTATGCGACATTGTTGGCTTGTTGGATTCTTGCTTCGATCTCTCTGTCTATTTTACCATTGAATGTAAAGATACTTCCCAAGTATTTAAATTCTTGCACTTGTTTTAGGCCGTGATCTAGAATCTTTATGTCGGTGGTCTGTTGCTCTCTACTTATGCTCATGACTTCTGTCTTTTCAGTATTGATCTTCATATGATGCTTGAGGCAACTGTCGTGTAGTAGGTTTATGTGGTCTTGCAGCTGTTTACTATCACTGTGAAATATGCATTGATCGTCGGCAAAGAGCAGCTCATTGAAGTCCTCCTGTTTATCGACATCTGTTGGTGTTATGTCTATTTTATTAATATTGTCCATAAATATTATGAAAAGTAAAGGTGATAATACACAACCTTGTCTTACTCCTGATGTTTCTGGGAACCAGTCTGTGATGCCAGCTCTTATTTCTAATGGCGCTTTCACTTTGTCTATAAATAGCCCTAACACAATCTAAAATTGTTCCATTTATACCGTAGTTTTCAAGAACTTTCCATAATAAATTTCTGTTTAATCTATCGAAAGCTTTTTCTTGATCTATGAAAGCGATGTTCATTTGATGTCTGTGTTCTATTGTCTTTTCGCTAACTTGTCTTAAAGCAAAAATAGCGTCAGTACACCCTCTTCCTTTCCTAAATCCGACATGTGATAGGCTCAGGATCGGTTCTACAACGGATCTAATTCGTTGTTCCAGAATTTTGGCAAACATTTTTTCTACGTGGCTTAGAAGGGAGATGCCTCTGTAATTGTTACAATCTTGCTTATTGCCTTTTTTTTCCAAATTGGGACTATAAGGGCTCTTTGCCAGTCTATTGGTACAGTTCTTTCATTCCAGGCTTTCCTAAATATGTGGAGTAGCCAGGTGACTCCAATTTCTCCACAAGCCTGTATTGCCTCGGCTGATATTCCATCAACACCTGATGCCATATTTTTGGGACTGCATCTGATTGCTTCTCTGACTTCTTGTTCGATTATTGTAGGATGTTCCTCGTTTGTACATCTGGGTGTGAATGGTACTGTTTCCTCATTTCCTGTTACATTCTGAAAATATTATTTCCACCTTTCTCTGATCTTGCCCTCCTCATGTATGGGTTTGCCTTGACTATCATTGACATATTCAGATGGCTGGAATGGTTCATCTCTAGTTATCATTTTTGCAATGGTTTTGTAAAACTGTCTACTAGATTTAGCACAGATTTTGGTAAGATTTTCTCCATACATGATCCAGGATGTTTCCTTGGATTGTTTAATTTCTCTTGCAGATTGTCGCCTGGCAATTCTGTACTTGATATAATCGTCATCTGAGCGGGATCTTAGCCATTTCTTGTATTGCTCTTTTTTACATTTCACTGCTATATTAATACCATATTAATATATATATATATATTAATATATTATATTAATACCATAAAAACTACACATATTTTCCATGTCAAGAATACAATTTTGAGTAACAATGCATCCATGAACTCGCATGGATGCACAAGGTCCTTCATGTGTTCAGGTGTTTGTGATCCAGTGTGGCTGTCAAACAGGACCACAAACACCTGAGCACATTCTGCAGACCTGTCCAATCTATAACTTCGAAGAGACGCCTGGCCTGAAGAGCAAAGTGTGCAGAGCAAGCTATTAGGAACCAAGAAGGATGTGCTACTGACATGCAAGTTCATAGAGGCACCCCACCTGATGGTCTGATTTGAGTATACGAAACCGAACTCGAAGAAGAAGAAGAAGAAGAAGAAGAAGAAGAAGAAGAAGAAGAAGAAGAAGAAGAAGAAGAAGAAGAAGAAGAAGAAGAAGAAGAAGAAGAAGAAGAAGAAGAAGAAGAAGAAGAAGAAGAAGAAGAATGAGAATACGAGGAAGAACATTTGGGTAATTACAGTGGACCCGAAGAGTGATAAAGACCACTTTTCATCCAAAGTAGCAATGATCAATGATTTTAAGAACGAAAGTGGTTGATTAGTCCAATATGAGCCCGGAAAGTTCTTATGCAGTGCGGACAACAGGTAGAGGAAAAAGACTGACGAGGAAGATAGCTGGATGAATGTGACTTGCGCAAGGACTTGGATTTAAGTGAGGAAGAGTTGCGCAATTCGTCGACCTCACTCTCTCGCCTGTGTCCATGTATGTAAGTTGCACCCCAGCAGGACATCATACAAGGCGATAAACATCCGGTGACACAAAGTGTCACAATGCGAATGAGGATCACCCATGGAGATGTCCCAGAAATCCCGTTCAGCCGTTAGGCCATATTCATGGCCCGGCTATGTTTAGGGTCCCTGACTAAAGCCAGGGTGGGGCTTCGATACATAAATTGCCTATGTCCAGTTTCTTAGTCCGAATATGACACACAGATGACAAGGCAGGTCACAATTTGAGTACAATTTGACAACTGAAAAGTTTGGGGAGCAAGGAGGGGGACGGGGGGAACAGTTGTCAGGAGAGTAATATCTTCTTTTTCTTCTTTGTTCACCGTCTGTAAGCTCTGGCAGAAAGTTCTGGTTATTCGTCTATTTGGACTTTGGCTTTGTGTCAGGGCCTGAGTATTACGTGTACATCCGTTTTACTGGCTTATTTGTGAGAATTTAGCTGTTCGTTGCCGCTCGGGCAGATGTATTCCCACTTCGAAGGACGCTGCCACTTAGTCGACTTTTACGACATGATTGAGGGGTGGGTGGGAGGCAATGGGCATTTTCTTGTACTCAATGGGGCCCCAGAACACACAGGCAGAGGGAGGATGAGGGCAATAATAATTCTGAACACTTCAACATCATGCAGGTTACTGTTTTTCAGAAATTATTGAAAGTAAACGAGACAGAAGGCTGTGGACAGACATGACTACCAACGCTAGATAGTATGGCCTTTAATTAAAAAAAATATCACTTACCCGTCCTTCGAGACCCAAGCTGCTGTGTTTTTGAGGCTCTGTGTAGTATGCCCAGTCGAAACGGCTCAGAAAGAGTTCGGACACCCGGGTTGGTGTGTAGAGCTCTGGCTGGCCCAAGTCTGAGTCCCCAGCCTCCAACAATAGGACAGTTCTCGAGGCATTCTCGGACAATCTGGCAGCCAGTACACTACCCGCTGAGCCACCGCCAACTGTAATATATGTGTAATTGTTCGTAACTCTAGTTCTGCTTCTTTTTCTGGCTATCCTCCGAATAACGGCCACACCTTATGGCGGTCAAAAACACACCCTGACAGGGCCTCAGTCACATGTAAATTGCGAACTTCCGGTGACTTAAATTGCAGACTGGCGACTATACCGCTACCGCCGAGAGTATCTTCCGCGCCGCTACGCGCTGCGTGAAACGGGGCTAAACTAGATGGCTGGGACTCACAAACAGCAGCTTCCGCATCTCCTGCAGCTTTGCTCGCTAGTTAAGCCCCGCTACGCACAGGCACGGGAGATACTCTTGGCGGTAGCGGTATAGTTGCCGAAAGGCCGCAATTTACATATGACTGAGGCCCGGTTTCTGTAATAAATAATACGTGGCCATTATTTGGAGGATAGCCCTTATTCTTCTTCTTCTTCTTCTTCTTTTTCTTCTTCTTCTTCTTCTTCTTCTTCTTCTTCTTCTTCTTCTTCTTCTTCTTCTTCTTCTTCTTCTTCTTCTTCTTCTTCTTCTTCTTCTTCTTCTTCTTCTTCTTCTTCTTCTTCTTCTTCTTCTTCTTCTTCTTCTTCTTCTTTTCCTTCTTTTTACTTCTGAAACCGAAACATTTGAAAGTCTGCCAGTCAATATTAGGAAAATCTACACAGACAAGTGGTCGGTTTCAAGAACACATGACAGATGCAACCAACACATCATTTTTCACAGACCCACAATAACCTGTCACATAGACGGGACCACAAAACTGGCTCTCTTTTTCAGCCAAATGACCTCCCATTTCAAGGTTAATTATGCCGACCGTTTTTTCCCTCTTCTAAAACACGGTGAGACGGGTTGTGTTCGCTTTTTTTTCAAGCCTTCACCAACAATTCTTGCGTTCTTAAGGGTTCGAAAACATTTCTAAAACACCAAATTTTGCATCGTGTCTATTCCTGCAACATCCTTTTACATTTACCAAGTACATTAATTTTTTTGCATAAGAGAAATCCAAACACACATTACGTCTAACCAGGCCATGCACCACGATTCACACGCCAAAACGTACAATGATAAACTTTGCTCCCTCCTCCCCCTCCCCTTTCCCGGTGTTTTGCGGTTTTCAGAGGAGCTGCCGTTAAGGACTTTAGGGAAAACACCAAAGAGCTCCATAATTCTTTAAATTCCTCCCAGGCAAATTGTGGAAACGACACCTTGTACTAGATTCACCGAGAAACAGCAGAGTGGTTTGGCCATCTCGTTAAAATGCAGCAAGATCAAATACCATCACAAGCACTACATCTCAGAAGATCAGATACAAGAGCAAGAGGACGGCCGCGGAAAACATGGATCGACTACATTAAAGACACTCTACGCCTTCACGGCATGACAATAGCCAATGGCAGCCAACGTGCACTGGATCGCAAATTATTCCTCCCCATGCTGCTTAACGGCAGAAGTGGTTTATGATGATGATGATGTGACCAAGGAGCTCCTAAATCAGTGTGTAGTGCATCAATCTGAGTTTGAGTTCAGATGTGAATTTCCCGGAAATAACTTCAACACTCTTCCAGATCTGGTTGTCTTTTTGAAAATTGATGTAGACATTTTTGAATTTAACGAAAAAGAGCTCCCCCACCCCCCTTCCTCCTTTTTCCCTTGAGTCCAAGGCTGTGGATCTATCAGGACACTTAACAGTTTTTTTTAAAAATGAAGATCACTTTATGTTTATGAAAAATTCAAATTTTGACAGGGCAGCGCCATTAGGCTACTCTTGTCTATTTCCAACTGCCAAGGGATTTTTTAAAGTGCACAACAATGCAAACTGGCGTCTGATCTCACTATCAAGAGGCCAGGGGGAATTACAGGATGTCCAAGTCACGTGAAAAAAATCTCAGCCCTTACCGGGGATTGAAACCGGCACCTCTAGCACTGGAGGCGGACACCATGCCTCGAGACCACGCAGCCCCTACCCCCACCCCCAGACTTGCGTAGGTTAGATTTTTTCCCCCCTAGTATCCAGAAGCCAAGAGTTGTTAACCCTTAGGCTCTTTATTATGGATATCGCAACCCTTCGGCCTTGATTCCATTGTAAATACCGTAAATCTGGGAGAAATGTGGCTTTTCTGCCTACCCCCGGGCGTGAGCCCGGACCACAAGGAGTTCGTCACCCGGTCACCGCGCAATCCGGTTTAGCCAACTACGCTAGCGAGCCGGGCGCGTAGGTTAGATGAAACAGCTTCACCACCTAATCTAGCGGTTTTTCTCTTCCCTTAAAACACTGCAACACTTAAAATGCAGAACATGCGCTTTGTCAAAATGTCTGGATCGAAAATCATGTGACCACTGTGAGAGATTTCCCTGCTTGGTATAATAACGAAGATGTCGTTCCTTTCAAAGGAACTTTACAAAAACTGGTAAAGTTTAAAAAAAAAAAAAAAAAAGGTCAGGGGCTGATATGTTCAAACACGCTGTTTCTATTCGTTCCCTGCCTTACCCTAGGATAAGCATGTTATGTCTATGTGTTATGTTGCTAGACAGATATTATATCTATGTGTTATGTTGCTAGACAGATATTATATCTATGTGTTATGTTGCTAGACAGATATTATATCTATGTGTTACGTTGTTAGACAGCCCCATCTCCATTCTCAAACTAGACGTCGCAGCATCATATGCTAGTCTCACATTCGCAATGAATCCCACAAGCTACTTCTACCACTCAGCACAGAACTATTGTATCGGCAATACCAGCACCTGGACGGGAATTATAATTCTGCACAGAAACAAATTTAAAAAAAAAATACATTTATAAACCAAGCAATACAAACTTACCAATGATAAAATCATACCGAGGACGAATATTTACAACTTCTTTATAACTCGGCCGCTTATAAACATAAGACTGGTAAAAATAGTACGCAACACATATAAAGAATAAATTGAGAAGTTGGTTTAGCGCCCCCATAGCTGAATATACGGTGTGCGGGTCTTTGCTTATGTTTATGATATTTTCTTAAAGGTAGTTAAACCATTTACCGTTTATCGTGTGTCGTGCTGTTTGCTTCAGAGGTGAAGACACATAGGGGTCGATGGAAATAAAAGAGCTGACAGGATGGCTAAACCGTATCACTACCGACGGTCAGCCTGTGGATCATGCAGATATTATCAATGCCCTCAGAGAAATGGGAAGGATAGAGGACTTTGGGGGCAGTGAATCCACATCACTCGCCAGAATGGCAGACTTGGGAATTAAGATCAGAAAGCAAAAAACGAGACGCACACCAGACACGCCAGAAGACTTGTTAATCAACACAGAACTGGTACTATTAGCCATCGGACGTTGGGGTTCATACTGAGGGGAGGATCTGAGCACCTATGGACGTGTCCGGAGTGCAATGGTGATAACTCAATTAACTAACTAACTAACTAACTAACTAACTAACTAACTAACTAACTAACTAACTAACTAACTAACTAACTAACTAGCTAACTAGCTAACTAACTAACTAACTAACTAACTAGCTAACTAGCTAACTAACTAACTAACTAACTAAGGGGTTACCTGAAAATATACCTCACTGGAGAAAATAACTAACTAACTAGCTAACTAGCTAACTAACTAACTAACTAACTAAGGGGGTTACCTGAAAATATACCTCACTGGAGAAAATAAAAATATATTACTGTTTTACAGTTTATATTTCGGCCATGTTAAGCGTCATTGTGGCCTGGAGTAAACGGTGGTATACACGACAGGAGTGTATATCATCATCATCATCAGGTGCCTTGCCGCCTGGCGTGGGCAAGCATGCCTCTCCACAATCTGCGATCTCCTGCAGCATGTTTGTGTGCCGACACACCTCCATGCCATGCAACAAGACTTGTCAAGAATCTTCTCTCGTTGTCTTCCTCTGTCCCTCTTTCCACAGATCTCTCCAATGGTCACAAGATGTTCTATTTTTCCTCTTCTCATAACATGGCCGAAAAAAGATGACTGTCTCCTTTTAATGTCTGTAATAAGTTGTCTTCAAGCTTCCGCCCCTTTCAAAACCTCTTGGTTGCTCTTTTTTTTTTTTTTTTTGCTGTCCAAGGCATTCATAGCATTCTTCTGTAAAACCACATATCTGGGGCCTCAATAAATTGTTTGGCCTGCCTACCTATTGTCCAGGGTTCACGGCCATGGAGTGCATATACATATTTTATTTGTCTGTATTTTTCTACACATAATTAATTTTTTTACAGCTATAATGTAACAGACACTTTAAGATTAGTACCAGCACTTTAAAAGACACCATGAGGTTGGGACCGGCACCTTATTTGTGCACTCAAGCAGAGTTAAAGTCGAGAGGATCGACTTCCTTGCACCGGGTTTTATGCTGCCTGTCGACAGCATCACACAAAGCATGAACTCCGTAGCTCCAGCGACGATCACTAGGGAAATCCGTAAAAATTGCAATTGTGAAGTGATCGACACAGCCGTGAAATGAACCCTCGATTTTCAGAGCGCAAGGCAAACGGCTTGACCACTTCGCCACGAAGACCCCTAATTTTTTGTTTCAAGCAGAGACGTACAGCAGAATATTATTATGCAAACCTTACAATAAACCCCCATTTGAGAAATATCTAGACACGCCTTTGACAATTTAAAATTAACGCATATCCGAAGAACGATAAGCAGGTAGAATGCCACTCGAACCGTTACAAATGATGCTTGATAATTCATGGCAGACTAGGTATCGCCTTGACCTCTCTAAGTCTTACTTGACCTTCCCTTAGTTGTCTGCTTATGTGTAGAACGGGTATAGTTTTTACTTCTGTGTTCGTGCTTAAAAGAGCAGTTAGCATTTTATGTTGCGGTATACAGCTAGGCTGAGATATATTCAGCCCAACCCAGCCGATTTCAACACTCTTATTCTTCTTCTTAAAATAGCGCCAAGAATGTTATGCCACGGTTTCTAGCTGGACTGAGGTATCTTGTCTATTCGATGAAACAAAACCAATTTCAGCTCTCTATTCGTTGCTACAAGTTTGTTCATAGCCAACTGGTTTACCCCCTCCTTCCGCCTCACCCAATCCCTCTCTCGTTTTATCAATCTCTCCTCCCTCCCCCCAACTCCCATAGGAATGTGGAATATTCAGAATCAACATCACAGCACTCGGGACTCTCCCATAAAAGCTCTATTCCTCTCTTCAGCAGCAAGCGAATAGTTCCAATTCCACTAGTGATTGTTTATCCGTCTCGGCCTTTTCCTGGAGTGTTTAGTGTTGGCCAAATCACCAGTAGCGCTATTCTCTTCAGAACGTAATGATCGACTCGTGCCTCTGTACTGTTCACTCGCTCCCAAACAGCCGTCACAACATCCAGCTTGTCATACATCAGTTCACCACCAAGTGGTGCAGAACAGGCCAGTCCATCTGCCTGCTGGTCTCTCTCAAAAGATCACTTTTATACAAAACTACTGTCTGCAACATGAAAAGATCAGTCATATACAAAACTACTGTCTGCGACATGTAAATATCAGTTTTATACAAAAACTACTGTCTGCGACATGAAAAGATCAGTCTTATACTAAACTACTGTCTGCGACATGAAAAGATCAGTCTTATACTAAACTACTGTCTGCGACATGAAAAGATCAGTTTTATACTAAACTACTGTCTGCGACATGAAAAGATCAGTCTTATACTAAACTACTGTCTGCGACATGAAAAGATCAGTCTTATACTAAACTACTGTCTGCGCCATGAAAAGATCAGTCTTATACTAAACTACTGTCTGCGCCATGAAAATATCAGTTTTATACAAAAACTACTGTCTGCGACATGAAAAGATCAGTTTTATCCTAAACTACTGTCTGCGACATGAAAATATCAGTTTTATACTAAACTACTGTCTGCGACATGAAAAGATCAGTTTTATCCTAAACTACTGTCTGCGCCATGAAAATATCAGTTTTATACTAATCTACTGTCTGCGACATGAAAAGATCAGTTTTATACAAAACTACTGTTTGCGCCATAAAAAGATCTGTTTTATACAAATACTACTGTCTGCGCCATGAAAAGAGCTGTTTTATACAAAAACTACTGTCTGCGACATGAAAAGATCAGTTTTGTAAAAAAACTACTGTCTGCGACACAAAAAGATCAGTTTTAGACAAAAACTACTGTCTGCGACATGAAAAGATCAGTTTAATACAAAAACTACTGTCTGCGACATGAAAAGATCTGTTTTAGACAAAACTACTGTCTGGGACAGGAAAATATCAGTTTTATACAAAAACTACTGCCTGGGACAGGAAAAGATCAGTTTTATACAAAACTACTGTCTGCGACATGAAAAGATCTGTTTTAGACAAAACTACTGTCTGGGACAGGAACAGATCCTTTTTATACAAAACTAGGTTAAAGTAATATTAGTTTCCCCACATAGAGTAGGTCACTTTTCATTCACAAGTTTATTGGGCTGGTCGACTTTCCTGAAGGTTACGGATATGACCCGCACTATTGTTTGCTTTCTGTTTAGTCTTGCATTTACGTTTCCATCCCAAGAAAGAGAATGCCTGTGACATAGGTTGCAGTACTCTCTGGGAAGGGGGGGGGGAAGGTTGGGGTCAGTTGTTTTTAGAGCGTTAAAAGCACTGGCGTGCTGAAATATACAACACGCAAAATTACCGGTATCGCGGAACACACCTCTGACCATGTGCGGAGGTCACAGGGTTTGGGAACTACCAATCAGAAGTGACCTAGTGTGTATTTAGGCGGGGCATGGGAAGATTAACGTTACCTGTTCCCAAAACTACTGTCTGCGACATACAAAAATATGTTTTATACCAGGTCAGTGCCTGTGAAAACGAAACTATTACTGATTTAATCAGCGACTTTTTGTTTAATGAAACAATAATCGCCATGGCTAAGACGGCTTTAGCAATAAAATGTGGGGGAATAATTAGCATTCAAGTGTTAAATAATGGACGTGTGTTATTATTTACAAGTAATATGCGGACAAGAAGCAGATACGTTGAAAAATATTTGCTCTTAGCAGAGATGTGTTTTTTGAGAAGAGCGCCAAGAATATCGTGGAAACAAACACACACACACACACACACACACACAAATGAGTGAATGAGTCACGTTCAACCCCACCAGGACCGTGCAACAAGCGTCCAACACCCGTTGACACAAAGTGCCACCATTCGGATGAGGATCCCCCCAGACATAAGTCCCAGAATCTTTGTTCAACGCCCTGTTTATTAAATTAAATGATTAGAGTTGTAATTGGGAGATGTAACTTGTTTCTCTCTATTCAATATTGGGAATTTACCTATGTAACTATTTTTTTTTTAAATGACCAAGGATTATAGCCGTTTGAATTACATATTTTAAATGACCAAGGATTATGTATAGCCGTTTGAATTACATATTTTAAATGACCAAGGATTATGTATAGCCGTTTGAATTACATATTTTAAATGACCAAGGATTATAGCCGTTTGAATTACATATTTTAAATGACCAAGGATTATAGCCGTTTGAATTGCATATTTTAAATGACCAAGGATTATAGCCGTTTGAATTACATATTTTAAATGACCAAGGATTATAGCCGTTTGAATTGCATATTTTAAATGTTTTAAATAATTGGGATAGTTTGTCTCATACTCTCATGCAGCATTTTGTTTGCTTGCAAAAATGCAGTGGAACACGAAAGGGTATAGTTCATTTGCACCGCAGAAAGAACAATCTTACAGTAAAGTAAGGAAGGCACGGTTCTTGTGAGACGGCCCGGAACATCAATCAAATGGACGAAGCAGAACACTTGTTTTATCGGGAACATTATCCCCAACATCGTTCGAAACCAATAATTTTAGAACAAAATGTTCTGCCTTTGCAATACAAAGAAAATAAAAATATGGCTATTTAATTTCTAAATTCAAATGTTTTCAAAAGTGAGTTGAATTAGTT